CCCCCTCCCGCCGCGGCAACGCGTTTTGTGGCGTTGCGATGAGCTGCCAGTCGTCGACATTGTCGGTCGGAGGAGTAGTGAGAGGGTGTGCCTCCAGGCCCAACGACTCTTGCCGGGGCTTGGGGAAGCCAAACCGGCAGCGCCCGTTCACAAGGCAGTACCCTCCGTGTCGGGTGTGACGCATGCACGCGTTGACGAGGTTCTTGTACCGCCTTTCGCATTCCCCGACATCGTCCCAATCGAAAGCGCGCAGGTCTCTGGCCAGCTCCTCTCTGGCCAGCTCCNCTTGCCGGGGCTTGGGGAAGCCAAACCGGCAGCGCCCGTTCACAAGGCAGCACCCTCCGTGTCGGATGTGACGCATGCACGCGTTGACGAGGTTCTTGTACCGCCTTTCGCATTCCCCGACATCGTCCCAATCGAAAGCGCGCAGGTCTCTGGCCAGCTCATCCCTGCCTCGGGCACGAGCCTCTTCGCTGGTCGGAACTTGTGGATCGGCTGGTGTAGGCGGTGGTTCGAGGTTGACAGCAGTGAATCCGATCCCACACAAGAAGCTAGATATCCCGTCCTTCACTCGCGACATATCCTCATCACTGACGCCTCCGTCGCCGGGGGGATCCTCACCGTCTCTCGAAGGCCGCACCCGCCCGATGTGGCCCCGCAGGTACGTGCGCGCCAGCTCCGTTACACGCTCCTCGCCCTCGCATTCCCACGAGCTGCACCCGTGCACGTGTAGGGTGGACCTGATCTGCCACTCGGCCCTGTCCCAGTGCCAGCTAGCATTGGCCATGTCCTTTCCCAGGAAGTACTTCTTGAACACCTGCATCCTCTCCCAGATCCACCAGTCCGCGATATGGGGGTTGGCAATGAGCAGGCGGTTGCGCTCCTGGATGGGACGGACGTCGCCTGCCCCCACACCCGCCTCAGGCTCCGGGCCAGCCCTTAGCATCAGGCGATAGAGGTCGGCCATGTGGTGATCGGCGGCAGAGTAGGTGGTGAACGTCGACAGAGACGGAAGCTGATCTATGGTGTCCTCCAGCTTGCCCTCCCACTTCTTCCAGTAGCCATCCGTGCCGGGANGCGGCGGAGTAGGTGGTGAACGTCGACAGAGACGGAAGCTGATCGATGGTGTCCTCCAGCTTGCCCTCCCACTTCTTCCAGTAGCCATCCGTCCCGGGCACATTCGCGACGTACCGGGTCGCGACGCTCATGAGCTGCCGAATGGTGTCATCGTTAACCTCACTGGGATCAAGACTGGTAAGGGCCGGGTTGTTCCGTAGGAAGATACGGCACTGTAACCGAGCCGTCTTTCTGAGCCGCATGTCCACCGACCAGTAGCGGAATGTTCTGTGGCTCGCAAAACGGTAGTAAGGCGCCTCTCCCTCCGGCCGATCAACAAACTTCATGAGATGTGTGACGATGTCGACGTCCGTCAGTGTACGTTGATGTGGCTGGGATGTATCCCCGACGCCGTCCGGAAAGAGAGTCGGAAAGCACATGCTCCACAGCCAAGGCGTGTCCTCTCGCAAGGGCGCTTCTTGCCCAGGATATTGCATGGTCGCCGCCCCGCTTTGCTCGTTGTCCGTGTAGTTGGTCATGTGCTCCAACTGCTGCCGCAGAATCTCCGCCTCGCTCTGGCGACCGTCCCCGGGCATCGGGATGAAGGACTCTGCCGGGCCTCGCTGAGGACGCGCCGCCAGACCCGATGCATCCTCAGGGTCACGCACGTTGTCGCCTTCGTCCTCGTGTTCGAGCGGGTCTGGCATGGGTTCGATTCCTCGGTAGTCGCGAGCGCCCTCCCCGTTGCCCTCCTTCTCCTCTTCGCCGTCGCCGCCTCCGGGGTTTGGCGGTTCCTCAGTAACCGTGTGAAATAAACGCATGACGTCGATCTCCCCGCCGTCCTCCCGCGGCTCGTCTTGCAGATGTCGGCGAACCCGGTCCATGTCTATCCTCGACCGAATATCCATGTACGGCGGGCTGTGCAGCATGAGGTAGTTGAGAGCCCGCTGCACCGCTCGAGGCTGACCTTGAATTGCCGACCCGCCCAGCTTCCGCTGTCGGGTGCCTGGGTGATGATGACGGGCATCTCGTCGGAGTTTGGAAGCGACGGCAAAGTCCCTACGAAGCCGCCAATATCCTGGCCTACGCTCAGGACGTGCCCCTTGTACCCATGGGCCCCGCCCGCAAGCCTGATGACCTTGCACACAGGGAACGCCATGGAGATCATCATCTCCTCGGACATCGTGAGCGATCGAAGTTCGTCCGGCACGGGGTTCGGCACCATGCCGTTCTCGACGCTGAATTTTGCGACTCGCGGCATAGAAGGATGCCGGCGAATGTGGCGGAGGTCATCCGCACACCTGGTTGTTGTGTTATTTCCGGCGAGATTAGAAGTGGGTTTTCGGTCGGGTGTGTGTCTCAAAAGTAGGCGGGGGGGGGGGGGTTGAGGGCCCCGG